ACTTCTGAGCTGTAACCTAAATAGCTAGTAAGTTTCTCCGATGAGAACATATGCATTTGGTGTCGATATATCAACACCCACATAGAAGTTTATCTGCGTACATGAGCACGTTGCATATCATATGAACCCCAGGAACCATGTCCTGGTGCAGCTCCGGCTCCGGCTCCGGCTCCTGCTGCATACTGAGAAGCACCATCTGTAGACCCTGGGACCTGCTGTAGTGAAAATGAAATAAGTATGTAATATTCATTAGGGTCAATTGAGGATAGGCCCTCTTTACTATCACCAACTTACTACCCTTTAGTTCTATTGTTGCAGATTAGCATCCTGAGTATAATTATTTTGACCCTGTTCAGGGGTCTATTCAGTAGAATTTCACTTGGGGGGTTTATCTGCAACAATAGAACGCTTTCAGAGGGTCTATCTGCAACAAGAGAATCACATGGGTAGTAAGTTCAATTTGGTAAAGGGAGTCTATCCGCAATTAAATCTATTCATTAAGCGTACTCTGAGTTTATGCAAGTGTGTTTCAACTATTAATAGCAACAAGTGTAGAATAGAAAAAGAGGCATACCGGATTTGTTGGATAAGCAGCAGGATAAGGATTTACACCATAACTGGGATCAGGATTTGCATAGTTCAGGCCATACCCTGCAGCTGCAGATCCTGCATTAAATTTAGAAATGGGTTCCCTGTAAATTTTTTTAGTAACATTTAAGAAATTCTCTCTTAAGCAGCTGACCTAAGTAGAACATATGTGACCAGTAAACATAGCTTTGACTTGGTTTTGAAACATATTCACTTCTACATTTATATGTTGTTACTTGAAAAGAAGTTATAACATGCATATGTCATCTGAGTCATCACAATCATATCTCAACTTTCTATGATTGACTACAACACAAGACTATATCTATAAGGATTTAATGGTGTGAAAAAGAAAACAAGAGATTTAGCTACCAGTCTGAGAACACTAGTGCATAAAACAACATTAGATGACTATAAGGAGGTGGCGAGAAAGGATAAATAATTCTCCAAACAAAATTATTATTCAAACATATTCATTCTCTACTCTAACATCTAAGCAATATAAGTGAAATAGATTCGTCAAGACATAAGTTAGTTGCGTCCTTAACATATTGGTTTGTTCAGGGACCTCTAGAGGCTTAAGATGCATGAATCAGTTTTTATTCTCTACTCTAACATCTAAGCAATATAAGTGAAATAGATTCGTCAAGACATAAGTTAGTTGCGTCCTTAACATATTGATTTGTTCAGGGACCTCTAGAGGCTTAAGATGCATGAATCAGTTTTTATCTCATCTATGTCATAGGGCTTATAAGAACTCGAAGAATAGTTCCAGACCGTCCATCCCACTCCTTAATGCAATACACAAAAGATCTCTCTATAGTCCTAAACTTCGTTTTAATCTTGAAAACCCCATCCCAACAACAGAACTTTCCGCATCAGACACAAATATCACAAAACTCGATCCAGGCCTATGGCGAAGAATTTTCAATAAGATACAAGGAAAAAAGAGAGAAGAAAAAGAAGTGTGAACATTCTACTTATCTTTCTTTCGTTTCTTTCTAATTCTTGTTATAATTCCAATTACTAAATAGCTTGAAACCATCTCTAAATTTGTCCCTCATCATCTATGTCAGAGCTGAAGAGATTTACCACTGCTGTATAGACATCGACATCATTCCAAATTTCAGATTTTAATGCAAAACAATCTAAATGGAGCCTCCTCAACGCAATCGAAGTTCTGGTCTACTCTATTGATTCAAAGTTTGTCATAATGTCCAGTTTCAAAACTTGAGGCCATGAAAGGTATATAGATCATCTTTCTATTAAAAAATTGCATATGAACGTATAAAAAAAATAAGGAAAAAGTTTGAACCTTCTTCAATTTATCCTTTTTTCTTTTCCCTCTAATTTCATTTTACAAATCCCAATTCCTAACTAGCTTGAAACCATTTCCATATTTGTTCTCTCTGCTTGTTAGTATATGAATAACCTCTATCAGTAATTTCTTCTATTTCCAACTTGCTCAAGAGAAACCACTTCAACCTCAAAGTCTCTTGCTTATCCTTCGCTAGAATTTCAGGACAATCAACTGTCAGCACCAGCAAATAATTTTCCAGCTTAGAAGAACCATTCTGTTATATGTCATTCTGTTACATGCCACTGCATTTTTGGCTGAAAGCCCCTTGCGAATAAAAACTTAAGTTTGAACGTTAAGCCTCAATTTGTCAAGGAAGAACAATAGAACCACCACAAACCTCATATGACAGTTTTATTCTTTTGATCTGAATCCTAATTCCTACAGTTGCAGATGCTGCTGGGCAATAAGAGGGTCCAGCACTGTGGACTAACAACGCAGTTTGGTAAACCACTGGAAACTATCAAGAAAATACCAATGTAACTAGGTCGCATAATTATGCATCAAATTTGTCCAAGTCCCTCAGTAAGCAATCAATAAAGAAATAGCTCCTCATACCATCCCAAAGATATGTTTTAATTTGAAATGCAATTACCTTGGTTCCCAGCAGCAGCTGCTGCTCGTGCCCGCTTCTCGGCATTAGCAACCTCTGCACGCAGTTTCTCCACTTCACGAGCCATTGAAATTAGATTGGTCTCCATCACTTGGCCATGCTCATAGTTCTCCGCATAACCTTTCTTTTCATATTCAATTGCTTGCCTAGCATAAATGGCATTCATGAGATCCACAATTTCAAACTATTAAACAAAGGAAAAATATTCTCAATGAAGAAGAAGAACGTTAACGGAAAGCTAGCTCATTCATCAACTCCAAAAACTGAGAGATCACCAGATACAGAATGTAAAGGGAGGGGGTGGGGGTGTTAAAAATTCAAGCATATTCCTTCAATTATTAAGTAGGAACATAATTTCCTTTATCCTACAAACCTTCACTCATTATATGACCAGTACTTGGGACGGTCACCACGTGTATTTATATAATCTCAAGTGGATATTACTTCATTTCTATGTGGTCAAACAAACACATCTATTTCTTACTTTCATGCTCACGAAACCCATATCCATCTGTGTCCAACACTTGCTAAAGTGTAATTCTTTATTCAGGTCAAAGTATATACAAGATGAAGTATGTTATGCCTACTCTTGTGGCATAAACTAATTGTTCTATAGATCCTTCTGCTATTTCAGATTGTTTCCTTCATGAATAACAACCGAATACAAATAATCAAGTGAGTTAAAATATTTAGTGCCTACAAATTGGAGATGTCTGAGTCACACATCCGAAGTCTAAAATCTTAGGTTGTGATGGCAGCAGACCCTAAGGCACAGGTACTCCTATCCTCCTCTTCCTATCTCAGAAAAATCCAATCCAATGTCGGTAAATTGTGGATCTGTAATGAAATGATTATCAACACTACCTATACCAAAACAAACAGACGTTTTATCCATGATGAGAAAGAAAGGAGGGGAAAAAATGGGGAAAGGAACAAAGCGAACCGACCTAGCTCGCTGCAATTCCTGTTTCATGTACTCAATCTCGGCTTTAATCGCAGGCATCTGCTGCACGTCAGCTGTTGCTTTGCCCAGATCCTGGGTGAGCATCTGGACCTGACCGGTGAGCTCCTGCTTTGCAGCATTTAGCTTCTGGATGTCTCCGCGGACCTGAATAAGCTCAGCTCTCATCGCATCCGCTGTCCGGAGATCCGCCTCCATCTTCATCGACTTCTCGTAGATCTACACTACAAGGCGCGGGGAATTACTAAACAATAGAGAAGACTAGGACACTGTAAATTAGTTCAAGACCTAGCTTTTCTTTTTGAAAAACAAGCTTTGATCACTCCCAAAGAGATATAACCTAAATTAAGATTATCTGATCAAGCTACAAGCGCAATCATTCCCCAATTTCAGTATACCTCTCGGAGTTGACCATCCCTCTCGGCCTGAGCGCCTCCGACGGCACGTGACATCTCATGCAGCTGTGCTGCCAGCGCGGCAACCTCCTGCTTCAACGCGACGTGAGTCGCCGCCAGCCTCTGTTATCTACAAGAAGCATCTGGATGTCTTGGTGCTGGGCGCCGAGCCTCTCCTCGATGATGGCGGCGGGCGTGCGCTGCGGCGGGAACTGCTTGGGGCCGCCGCCGCGGGGGCCGCCGGCGAAGGGATCGTCGAGGAGGTGAGGAGGCGGAGGGCGGCCGGCGAAGGGGTCGTCGAGGAGGTGCGGAGGCGGCTGGCGGCCGGCGAAGGGGTCTTCGTGAGGCGGCGGCGGGCCGCCCTTCATCTGGTGTGTGAGGGGGGACGCGGCTCCGCCCTGACATTTTTGTGGGTTTTTTTTAAGGGTTTTTGGGGTTTTTTTTAGGGCTCTTGAGGGGGATTTTGGTAGGGAGCGCTGGATTTTAGATGGACGTGAGATCGTTATCGGCTTATTTCTCTTTTATAGAAGTCCATGTTCTGCAAATTGTTTTCGTATCTGCCCTCCCTCAGAATGTGTTTTCCGCCCTTTTCTTAAATTCTTTTTTTGTTTTCCCCTTGTTAGGGGTGGGGGTGGGGGTGAGGATAGAATCATGGTATTTATTGGAACATATAATTCAGCAGAATTTTGAAATTGTAGGATTTGTTAATAAAGAATAAATATCGATTAAAAATGACTAGTATTGGTTGAGATTAGCTCAAATTAGATATTCTCGTCTCAAATACACAATCTCAATATTAAAATATTACGTAAAAATAATTGTATAATTTTTCAGCATAGTGTGTCTTGGACACACTTAGTAAGCAACAAGGCTAATTTTTGGGATACGGCTGAGTTAGCTATGTATCATTCTCATTGTGTAAGCACATAAGTTAATTAATAAAAACTTACTAAAAAAATATTGTATTAATGATTAAATTGCAAACAATTATATGCAAATGTTATTATTTTGAGATATATCTAAGAAAAAAAAGATAAATTATGTTATATTTTACTCCTCAAGTTATAAAAGTGATTGTTGTATCATCCGTCCTTAGCCGAGGGTGCCGTAACTAATGCGTAGTACAATGAGGGAGCTTGCAATAATTTTGCCACCAACAAAACTTCACCGCGAGCTTCTCACAGATCCATAAAAAATTGGGGAAGGATTAAAACAGATCTGGAGCTCAACCGTGACCTCTTTCTTCTCTTCGCGCGTTTTCTCTTCTTCTCTAAGCAATGGCGACGGCCAACCTCCCTAAATCCGGCGCCATTTCCAGAGGCTACAACTTCGCTTCAACTTGGGACCAGGTACTCAAAAGTGTATCATAAACCCTAACCCTAAGTTCTTGATCTCAGATCTCTTAATTCTTCCCCGATTCTATACAGAACGCTCCGCTGACTGATGAACAACACGCCGCGATCTCAGCGCTCTCCAGTGCTGTAGCTGAGCGCCCGTTCCCGCCAAATCTGGTAAAAGTTTGGAGGATTTCGATTTTGTGCTTTGATTGCTGTTGATTTTGTTTTGATCCAAGTTTCGTATTGTTTAGATTCAAGATCAGAGCACAGGAAAGGATAATGATAGTCATGTTTTGGTTCCTACGAGTGATTCTGTTGATGATGTTGCCGCTGTTGATGCTGTCTTGGTTAACACTCACCAGGTTCTTTTTTTTTTGTTTAATTTTTGTGATTTAGTGAGAAATGTGAGAAATGGATAGGATCTAAAAATTTATCTTTTCTTGTAGTTCTATAAGTGGTTTTGGGATCTGGAATCGGCAATGAAATCAGAGGTTTTGCATCTTAGATTCAACTTTTATTTTATTTAGAAATTTTTGATGCAATTTTGCAAGATAATTGTGGATTTTTCTTTCTTTCTTTCCCCCTTGTAGACGGAGGAGAAGTATAATCTCTATGTGAATACTCTGGTAGAACGCCTTCAGATATGTGACGGGATTCTTAACCAGGTGTTTTTTAATTTATATCTGTTTATACTATGATTATGTATGAAAAACATCATGCAATTAGTCATCTTTATTGCCTTATAGATGGTGTGAATAATTCTTTTCTTTTAACTGCAGGTTGATGATACCCTTAATTTATTTGACGAGCTGCAAATGCTGCATCAGACTGTTGCAACAAAAACCAAAGCCTTGCATGATGCTTGTGACCGACTGGTATGCCCTCATTTTTCTTGTGTGCTTTTGTTATATGCAAGACATTACTGTCATTTGAGATAATTTTGCTTAAGATATGTTCAATATATTTTCTCTGTGTAAACCTTCCTCTTCTGTAATACAATGATTAATAATTAAGTATTCATAATCACGCTAGCATGCTTAATAAAGATAAACTTCGCAACCCATGAGAAGATTTAATCTACTGAAGTAAACCTTGATTTATAGAACTCAAAATTACTCAAAATCCTGAATGCAATGCGTTGCATTAGTTTCTGATGCATCCTACACAACATTTGCATTCTTCGTTACTGCCATTTTGATGAAATGATCTGGTATATGCACAGAGTATTCTGCAAATTATCGTGCTTTAAAGTTATATCCCTCGGGTCCAGAATAATACTAAAGCCTTAAACATGTAAATGAAACACACAGAGCATTTGCTTGTTAAATTTATCAGTTGTCTTGTATGTGTTTCTCTCCATCAAGTTCTATGTGCAAATAATTAGTAATAAATTTCATTTCAGATTATTTCGTGTTCACTAATAATTTGTTCCATTTTTTGTTCATATTCTTGTTGCAGTTGCTTGAAAAGCAGAGATTGATAGATTTTGCGGAGGCACTTCGTAGTAAACTCAATTATTTTGATGAATTGGAGAATGTAAGGTTTGACAGCTATGTCTCTTTGTTATAAGTTTTTACCTTTATATGTTACTTTACCTTTAAGTTGTTTTTCTGAGAATTCAGCTTGCATGTTAATCTCTCACAAGTGCCTATACTCTTGGTTACTTTATACCTTGCTTATTATCAGAATAATGGTAAAACATGCTGTACATTACTCAGGCTCTTGGAAAATGGAAATCAATGGGTTGTATTTTGACAAGGACTGAGAGTAATGATATTTGTGTCTTTAAATCTGAGAGGGCCTAGATTGTATATTTTCCTTAAAAAGAAATGAAATGTTCCGTGTTTCCTTCTGCGTTGCTTTCACATTGTTAGTGCACTAGTGCTGTGTGATCTTAGTATATTTGTTTGGCTTTTTCGTATTCATCACTAACATAATATGCATACATGAGAGCAGTGAAAATCTGGTAAGAGTCAGACCAACTCACAACTTTATAGGAAAATAAATTGTTTTTCGAAATCAATTTGGTTTTTATTTTCTAGTTGGAATGGAAATGTTTGTCTGAGAAAAGTGGTAGAAAAATTCAGATATTTACATGTGACTTTCATCAAGTTAGGATAGCTTTATAGTCTTAGGAGAAAGTGTGTTGGATTTTAAAACCTAGTTATAGGGATCATCGATGCAGTTAAAGGACAACTAAGCAAATTTATTTTGTGTATCATCATAGGCCATAGGGTTATATCAATATCATTATTATTAAATATTTTTAGTGCAGCGCAAAGAGAAGGAAGGGAGAAAAACCAAAGAAAGATATAAGGGCATCTCCAACCCAGCACCAAAATGGTGCAAACAGTGCTTTTTGTTGCACTGTTCATTCTCCAACGCAGCCCCATTTTCTGCTCCATCTTGGTGCAGTTGAACAGTGCTGTACCAAATATGGCGTTGCACTGTTCATCCGCCCCGTTACTGTTCATTAAAAAAATTTAAATACTTATTTTTAACTCTTAATTAATATAAAAATAGATAAAAGGAAATAAACTGGGAATATTCTGAGAATATTTTTTTTTGGTGCAAAAAATGGTGCAATGGGTTGGAGATGTATTACTGTTTGATGTGACTTTTTCACCATTTTGATGCAAAATTTGCACCATTTTGGTGCAATGGGTTGGAGATGGTCTAAAATAGGATATTTAACAAGGCCTCAAACTTAAGCTCAATTTTCATCGACGTCGTCACTATTTTCCTCATGTATATATGGCATATGGTACAAGGTCTGACTACGCTCTAGATATCCATTGACAGAATTTAATTATCTCTGCCTTTCTTAAATCCTAATGTAGTAACTGAATTCTACTCTTGGGACTCTAGTGCATGCCTTGCTTATTTATTAGAGGGGTTTCCACCTGAAAATGTGGGAAAGTACACACGAAGGGGCTACAAGCACTTGAAATCAATGATTTGAGCCCACATAAAATTACTGGACGAATAGCTTGAAAATTGAGGCTAAAAGATTTTATCGCAGATAAACTTCTAGCAACTTCTGCTATGATTTAAGATGTACAGAGTGGTATTTGACTCCCTAACATTGTTTTTTGTATAAAAACTTACGTTAGTGATTTGAAACGGCACAAAAGTTTGTCGTAATTTTTTTCTTCAATTAGTTGTTGACAATTTGCACTTTTTATATTGTACCTAATAGCAAACTACAGAATCGTCTTGGTTGCTTATGGCATTCCATATCTAAAAACGATTTATCATTACGTTCTAAGCAGATATATTTCTTTCCTCCTATTCTAATGTTCTTAATGTAAAATTCTTGTATATAGGTCTCTACCAACTTCTACTCTGCAAATATGAACATTGGAAATGGACAATTCCTTCCTTTGCTGAAACGACTTGATGAGTGTATCTCGTAAGATTTATCTCCATCATTTGCTTAGTCTCTTTTTGTATTCGTTTCATTAAGATCTATTCAAATAAGGAGTTGCAAACTTTAATTGAGTTATCTTATGGAGGGAAGCCTAGGTATGTCGAGAGTAACCCACAGTATGCAGAATCTGCTGTTTACTTGGTTAAGTTTCGGCAGCTCCAGGTACTTGGGTTTCATTTTTATGCTGTATAACAATATTTTGTGGGAGTAGTTGAAACACTAAAACTAAACATGTTGCCTTTGCCCTCTCATACAGTCTCGCGCATTAGGTATGATTCGATCTCATGTGCTCTCAGTTCTGAGAGGTGCTTCTTCGCAGGTATATGTACTACATTTTGGCATGGACCTTTAAGTTCGATTGTAAGTTCTTTTCAATTAGCGATTTTATTTTATCATTTTCCTGCTGTTTTTCAGGTGCAATCTGCTATTCGTGACAGTGGTTCAAGCAAAAACTCTTTTTCAGAGGGTGTTGAAGCATCTGTTATTTATGTTCGTTTTAAGGCGGCAGCCAGTGAGGTGGATTTTCTTTCATTAATTTAATAGGTTTTGTTTCTCTCTTCTATTTCTTCTTTGGGTTATTTGCTTATGTAGCCCTTAAATCATGCGTATTTGCACAAGTACCCTCCAAATCTCAGTTTTTGCAAAACTACCCCTCAAATCATCAGTTTTGGAAAACATTACCCTCAAAGCAATTAATCATCAATTGTGATAAGCTAATTTGTAACCGCAATGTAAAAATTATTAACAAAATAGTCAAATTTTTAGCACCAACTTGATGATTTACTGATCTTAGTGGTATTTTTTCACAAAGTTGATGATATGGGTGTAGTTTTCCAAATACTAAGATTTAGGGGGCATTTTTGCAAATATCCATGATTTAAGGGGTAATTTTCCAAATACTAAGATTTAGGGGTCACTTTTCGAAATACTAAGATTTAGGGGGCATTTTTGCAAATACCCTTCTTTTTAATCATCAGAAGTATAGCACATAGAAAAACCAGCCAAAGCAAATTTGAAGGTAGTATGATTTTGGTTTGATTGTTGAAAGCTGAAATCTAAATGAACCAGAAAGCTCCTCATATCATATCTTTTCCTGTGTTTAGTCTAATCTATATATGATAGAGATGAGTAACACTAATGAAGTTTGTAATTTGCAGCTCAAACCTGTACTAGAAGAAATTGAAAGTAGATCTTCAAGGAAAGAATATGTCCAGATTCTGTCAGAATGCCACAGACTATATTGTGAGCAGAGACTATCCCTGGTTGGTTTTGTGGGATCTGTGAAGCTTCATTGCTTTTGTCATCAATTTCCATTGTATTCTGATCTATCTAACTTAAAATTTGTTCTCGTGGACATTGTATAAAATCTGTTCAGATAAAAAGTATTGTCCAGCATCGGATCACTGAGTTCTCAAGGAAAGAGGCATTATCATCATTGACTCGGTCTGGGTGTGCATACCTGATGCAGGTGAAATTCCGTTCTAGCTAGTAGGGGCCTTGCACATGTAGTAAATGGGAAAGCAGGAGCCCTGTATTCTGTCTGAAGTCATTTTGCCATTTCATTTTAAACAATGGAGAAGGTTAATTTTTTATATGCCAACTCGTTAGTTTTATGTTAAATTACTTAATAGAAGGCTGACTGACAAGTTATTATTCCCTGGAACTTGAAACACCTGCAACTTGGTCTTACCACTGCAATCTTATTCTTGCTAGAGAACTTCAGAATGATGGCAACCTTAGATCCTTCCTTCAACCTGCGTAACTGCACTATAGATGCTAATGATTTGCATGATAAGGTTTAATTTAGTGTTGATTGAATGAATTGAAACTAAATATAGGGTTCAAATGGCAGTCTTCTGCAACTGATAACTTATTCGGCAGAATAGTTATTGAATTTCACATTAAGTTCAACAATTTAGGCAATTATGATTCAGTAATTCTTCATGAATTTGAAGCTTATACATACGGGACCATAACTTGTACCACCATACAGGGTAATAATGTCTCTTCCAAATTGGAGCAGGAGAAATATGTGAATCCTGGATGGAACACATAACATGAAGAAGAGTTTCTTTGTAGTTGAGATGGCGGGTGGAAGTGCCCATCTTTGATAAAAGAGAATCACAATCTGAGCAAACAAGGAACACTAGGAGCTGTTGTTCCTTGGTATATGGTATATGCATGTGTGTGGGTATTTTGGTTTGTGTGTTTGAGTTGTTTGGGGCTGGGCATTATGATGTACTCAAACCTTTTCTAATGCTACTTCTTCTGATTTCAGGTCTGTCAGCTTGAACATCAACTCTTTGCTCACTTTTTCCGTTCTTCATCCCAGGAAGACTCCAGTTTAGCTCCTTTAATAGACCCTCTGTAAGTTTCTCTACCTTCCATGATGTTGCAGTTTTCTTCCTATTTAACTAAGATTCACATATTTAATGAAACTTTACATCTACTTGGGTCGTTTGTTTCTGTTCTTTGATCCATCTGATGATCTGTTTGTTCCACATAAACTTTATTTGTTCTCTATATGAATGCTTAAGGGAATATCCATATGGTTCAATGGCCCCTTTGGTACACTTGCACATCAGGCTGACAGTTAATCATACAATTTCATCTACAGAGCTGTGGTCAATAGCCCATTTCCACTTTCCATCTCACGATAAGTTGGTTTTGAATAAAAAAAATATATTCTTTCTTTTTGGAAATTAATAGGGTTATTTATCCAAAGCATGGATTTTTAGGTACTTCAATTGTAGGTAAAAATAGTTGTCTTTGAGCATTCTTGTGTATAGAGGACAGTTTGTTTAGTTCATTGTTATGAAACAGTTACCCCTGACATATATTTGATGCAGCAGTTGTGGATGACATTAATGCTTTTTGCATCAATACAAAGTTTTTAGATATGAGCATTCTTCATTTTCCGAAGTTCTCTCTTCCTAAAGCTCCTATTGAGGCTTTCTTTTTTATTCTTGCAAAATTGCTCTTTATTCCATCAAACTTTGTGAATTCCAGTATTGTTAGAATTAGATTTGATGATTGATTGATTTTTTTTTGTTGCAAGTTTGAAGGACTTCTTTAATAATGTTGATTGCTGTATAAACGATTGCTCATCATTAGTTTCTTAATGTGTTGCCACACTTGCAGGTGCACATACTTGTATGATATATTACGTCCTAAATTGATACATGAAGCAAATCTTGATGCTCTTTGTGAGCTTGCTGATATCCTGAAAATTGAAGTTCTAGGGGAACAGCTTAACAGACATTGCGAGTCACTTACAGGTCTGCGGCCCACACTACAAAGAATTCTAGCAGATATTCATGAGAGATTGACATTTTGTGCGCGCACACATATTCGTGATCAGGTATCTTTAGTAGCTGTTTTGTTCTAAAGGCGTTAGCTTTTTCTTTTCTTCAATGCTTCACTTAGTGCTGATTGTTCCATTTGCAATCTGTAAACCTTCCCATTAGCAACAATGCTCACACACATATTGAGTCCTTTTAGATTCTGCCATCTGTTTTCTCATTATACTAGTTCCAGTGTTTTTTTTATTGGGGTTACTCTGGTTGAATTCTTCTTCTTCTTCTTTTTGGGTGCAAAACTTCTCATGTAAATAGAAATTTGTTTTTGTATCAAGGGGAAAAATTAACGCTAAACTCAGCTTGTGGTTCTTTCTAGATGTCTGGAAAAAGAACACTGACCTGTAGCAAGTGGAGTATAATGTACTATATTGTGTTTGATGGAAATGGAAACGAAGATAGCTTCTAAATCTTTATAATGCTTTTCTTTTTAGTTAATTATTTGTTAATCAATTACTTCTTTTCATTCTACTAATGCATTAGTTTAGCAGATTGCAAATTACCGTCCTACTGAAGAAGATCTGGACTACCCTGCTAGACTGGAGAGATCCACTGAAACATCATCAGATGCTACTGTCAGTAACTTGCTCTGTGCTGTACTTTTCCTCAGATTGGAAGGATAATTTCTGTGAACTTTTGATTTTCTTTTGTATTCTGCTGGAACACCTTTCACTGTTTATTGGCATGTGCATGGAGCCCCATGTACACTTATACTAATACACAGCCACATTCAAACACACATGCGGACATCTCTGTGCGTGCATGTGCGCTTGCGCGTGTGTGATTGATATCGGACTTCTTTCCTGGCTGTCTGGTTATTTCGGTTTCTTAATGTGCAGCAGTTCTCGGGCTGCTCAATAATCGTGGGTTCTTTGAATAAAGGATATCAGTCAACTTCCCTCTCGTTTTTATTACAGGTTGATGATAACTCTGATATTTTCAAAACATGGTATCCTCCATTGGAGAAAACAGTATCATGCCTTTCAAAGTTATATCATTGTTTGGAACCTACAGTTTTTACTGGGTTAGCACAGGTTTGTACTTTTGTGGTTTGTTTTGGTTGGATTCTCAAATAATTCACTCCGATGATATTTTTCTGATGTTTTCCATTTTGCATTTACCAGGAAGCTGTTGAATTCTGCTCAATATCCATACAGGTTGGTAAATATTTCTTTCCTTCCCTCTCTATCTTGGCATTTTACTTCATATAAAATGACAGAGCGTTCAACAACAAGAACGATTTCTCTTTTTTTTTAAACCATAAAACTTTATTTTTCATTTTCAATCATAAATGGCTCTCATTTATAAAACTTGTCTAACTGCAAAATCTGCCCATTCTTTTGGTAAAAACACATGTAAACACGTTGATTGAGATAACAATTAAATTTGCTATAACACTTATGAACAAACAATTATAATATTCTGCAATTGAACAAACAATTTCTTCTCTGCTTGTTTATTTTCTATTTCCTTCTTCACTCTTCTGGGCATCATTTATACACATACCGAGGTACGTTCTTCCATGTTTCACCCACCTTTTGTCCTTATGTGGTTTTGCTTCCATAGTTCCATGTGGAATTGAGGAGTTATAATTTTTTTTTTCCCCTGAGAAACAGGTGTAATACAGTTAATTCATCCCTTTTGGCCTTGATTTTCCACTTCTTGTTCCCTCTGGATGCTAGAATCTCATGTTTGAAGAGATTTTCTGCATATAACCCTTTATTTTCTCTGTGTCTAAATATTTTAGTTTTTAAATTTGGAAGAATATAAAGTCAATATCCAATCACCCATTTACTGATAAGAATGACCTTTCCGTAGCGGACATTTAGCATTGTAAAGTAGCATATATTATCCCAGAAAATGTAACATTAGTATTGAAGTTGAAAAATATTTCCAAAGTTGCATACTACAATACTTGGTAGTAGTATATTGCTCTTTTCAACATATCTTCATTCTTCACCTAGGTCATAACAAAAGTTTCTCATAGAAGATGTATTAAATTAGTTTACATATGTATAAAAGTGTGTGTGGGCTGCGCGGATAATTGTGAAACTTGTGATGCTTTATGATCTGTGTCTATAAATGGCTTTTTGGGATTTGCAGAATGCAAGTAAACTTGTTGCAAAAAGATCATCTACAATGGACGGACAACTCTTTCTTGTTAAACATATCCTTATCTTGAGGGAACAGGTAGTATAAAATTTTATGGTGCACGCAGCTTTATTCGTACTTTAATTTTGTGTTGAGTGCTTTGGTGGTAAACTTTTGCTAACTTCTGCTTCCAAATATGATCAGATTGCCCCATTTGATATCGAATTCTCTGTTACTCACAAGGAGTTGGATTTCTCTCATTTGCTGGTGAGTTCAATTTGATTCTTCCTGTTCTGTGACGAGTACACTCTATTTTGTTGTTCACGATGTGTTTCCATCTTCAGAGGTCTTGTATGAGTGCTAATACTGTCCATACAGTTTCTGTTTCTATGGTTCCTGTTAAGTACAATAGAACTTTAGTGACAACTAGAAATGTCTAGTTTATGACTGCTGGTAACAAACTTTTTCTCGTGCAATATTATTTATCAGGAACTTTGTTCTTTCTCATTTTATTTTATCATGTTTGACCTTATATTCTATACCTTTAATGGTATAATTTTGTACTATTAGTTATTTAATGGTTTGTAAGGCTACCTTAAAATATATGAAATATATTGTTACAAGTCTTGTGACAACTGACCCGAATCATTTTGGTTTTGCTTATTCCAGGATCATCTGAGGAGAATTCTCAGAGGTCAAGCCTCATTGTTTGATTGGTCAAGATCATCTTCACTGGCTCGAAGCTTCTCTCCTCGAGTTCTAGAAAGTCAGATAGATGCGAGAAAGGTTAGACAATCCTTGCAATTTAAATTGATTTATATCCGACAGTGTAGCTTGTGGACTGATTTATATCTTTGAAAGGGTTCCATGCCTCAGATTCAGGTTTTGCGTTGACCCTGACTTGGAAAATGCATATTAGGTGTTTCTTCTGTTTACTGATTCAGCTATTTCAATGGATCGCATGATTACAATTGGCTTGAAAAGAAAATTGGTAGGAAACCAATAAAAAAGACAGGCAAGAAGTAAAGCGTAAATACTAGAACTGGAGAAAATAGTTGTGATTCACGAGTCATAATATATTGAAGAAATATATTGTGCGAGTATGAGAAGCAAACCTGATTACCAGCTATTTATTTCACATATATTCACATAGTGGTTACATGGCTTGTCATCTATCTAATACTGAGCTTATTTCTAAAGTCATAAACATTTAATACCCTGCCCATTTTAGGTAATGTAACAGTGGTATATTTGTGAAGTTCTTATATATTTTGTTTTGGAATGTAAAAGCATTTGCCCAAATTGAGTTCTTTGATGCATCAATTGGTACAGTTGGCCTGTCAAAGCTTCAAGATTTAATGTTTTGGGCCTTAAATGTAACTTCCTTCTGGAAGCCTATGAGAAATTTGGTAGAGCTTTCACTGAATTGAAAATGTGATATAAAATTACAATCTGTTTTTTTTATATATTATTTTTTTTGCTGCAGGAATTAGAAAAAAGTCTCAAAGCTACGTGTGAGGAATTTATCATGTCCACTACAAAGTTAGTTGTGGACCCAATGCTTTCATTTGTTACCAAGGTAACCACCCCTTACTGGTTTGCCAATAATGTGAAGTATGATCTTTTTCTAGCTTCCAATGTTAAAGTGAGGAAGTCTATTTAGTCAAATAGTCCTTCAATACTTGAATGAATCATATAGATATGCTTCTTTTAACATGGTAAAATTCTCATTCCTGTGGAAATATATGTTCAGTACAATGTTCAACAGTTTCCCAGAAAAAGGTTAAATGGAAGGCAAAGAACAAGGGCTCTTGACTTATCCTTTTGATCTTGATGGAACAAATTTGTTATTTATAGTTGCCTCTTCTTCGGGAACCATTTGGAAGCATTGTGATACTGATTCCATAGCTGTAACTAACTCGGGCATATTAAGTGCCTTCGTATATTGATCTTTTATTCTTTTGTCAGATTCAACTAATGCAAATATAACCAATATATTATTTATTTTTCAGGTAACTGCTGTAAAACATGCATTATCCTCAGGTGGACAGGATCAGAAACTAAACTCTGTTTTGGCAAAACCTCTCAAGGATCAAGCCTTTGCTACTCCAGAGAAAGTGGCTGAGCTTATTCAGAAGGTAATTCATATTTCTTACTGATTTGGCACCTTAGTTACTGGGTATTAATCATGAGATGCCATGTGGCTAAGCTATTTCAGAAGGTAAGTGTTGGATTTTGCTGGTTCGTACCTTAGTTACTGAATATTTATCATGAGATGCAAATGCAATGGGAACAGGTCACCGTTGCTATTCAGCAAGATTTGCCAAAAGTGATGACGAAGATGAAGCTCTATCTACAGAACCCGTCCACTCGGATGATCCTGTTCAAACCAATCAAGTGAGTAGCCCTCATATTTTAACCTTCAATTGCGTCTAATATGATCTATCATGCATTATATTTTCATAGATAGTTGACAAAGACTTGTGCATATGAAATTGTGCTATCGAATTGATTAGCCTGTAAGCTATTAGGGGGATTTTGCTTAGCGTGCTCTGGAAATTTCTTATTGGAAATAAAAATGCTTTATAATTATTCAGTATAATCCTGCCTGCCTTGTATGAAGGGCAATACTGAAAGGCAATATCCTGTTATGACATGAGGTTTTAGAACATAGACTCATTTTCAATATGGGGCATCGTAGTTGTAGAATCCTGTGTTCTCCACTTGAAATGGAATCTCAGAGGGTTTCCAGGTCTTTGCACTTTAAGATCCTCCCTTTGATCAACTTGAAAATGTTATGATACAACTATACAAGCAAAGAATCTTGAATTGTGTCTGTGTACAAGGTACGAGAATTTGATGGGTGTTGTATCTAACTTTCAAAACCATGTGGTGTTATCTCCAAAATTAACCTCAAGAACATAGCATTTTATCTATGTAAAGTAATTTGTGTATTATGACTCAGTCTCATGCTGTAAGATTCTCAAAAGAAGTACAGGATAAAGAAATTCTCAGAGTTACAAATTAGCTACGTGTCTTCCTTCACTAGCTTATGAATTTCCTTTTCTCCAATAACTGGAAGGTGAATATCATGGTTTACCATTGTATATTCTGGTTGTGGTTACCTATCTTATCTGATATGGCATTTGCGTTCCAAGAGCTTAATGTCTTTATATTTCTCGTAACGCAGGACAAACATCGTGGAAGCTCATGCACAACTACAATCTCTGATAAAATCTGACTACTCTGCCGAAGAAATGGAGAGCATGGGCATGGTGTCCCTACAAGACCTGCAGGCTCAGCTTGATAGCCTTCTCTAGATGTCGATATCCTCTATTTTCAAGATAAAGCTTCATGTTGAAATTATTGTACTTGTCAATTGTGCTCTTAATGGTTGATGAACTGTATGAAGCTACTATGAACAACTTTATGGGTCTATTTTATGTTGCACTGATATTTTCAGAGGGCGTATTTTTTTTTTTTACTTATTTTATGGTTTTTTGATCTCGAGTGTGGGCGTATGAGTTATGACATGTGTTAAGTAGATTGTTCTACATCACTATATGGAATAGTACATATATTTGTACTGTGGTGAATATTATACTAATCACGGATACAAATACAAATATCAGTGTGCATATGCACATACAAGTAGATATGAGAAACGTTGATAACACAAAAACATATACGTCATATGTTAGGAAAAAATATTTAAATGAAATAAAGATTCTTAAATCAGAATTCAGTGATACTTTCTACATGTTTAAAAAAGCTAAGATTAGATTTCAAATCCACAGTATTAATGATTATGGGTGTGTAAGGTCCGGATATGATACTTACTGTGCTTGTATCCGCATATGAATCATGGATACATACGAATACTAATATATATTGCAGTACAGAAAGTTCATATTCATATCCGCTAAAATTGGAGATGGGTATGGATATGCATGTGAATATTGCATATGGATACAAAACGGATATAACAAGGCTAGATAATATTGAGAGAGAAATAGTTTCATATGATATGAGATTAGATATCTAAGCTAAGATTAATATGATCGTTATATCTAAGCTAAGATTAGATATTTTGATAATTAAAACTAACCTCAATTCCATTAATCTGAAGATTAAAATTGCTGTCATAATATGACCAATATATATTCGGATATTCAAGATGCATATCTAGATATTTTACTACGCAACCATATTTGTAAATATATCATGTGGTTATATACTGTAATAATCATATCCTTGCCCTAGTAGAAATTTGATCGAATGTGCAAATTTCTGTGCGCCCCTATCACTGATCAACACATATGTCTTACTTATATCCATATTCGTACTCTATTAAAAATCGAGGTGCATATTTTCTTATCCTATCGCGTATGTTTTTATATTCTATTAAAAATTAAAATATAAGAGAAACAGGTTTATCATCTAGTTATGCTATATAGCCCATTGGGCCTGTCTGAAATTTTTTTCCAGTTTATTTAAAGGTTAAAGTAACACACACACACCACCCCCCCCAACCCCCCCCGCCCACACCCCCCCACCCACACCCACCCCACCCCCAAAAAAAAAAAAAACAGTCATGACTCTTCTCTACTGAGCACTGCTCTCTCGAATGCTCTCTCAGAGCAACGCACGGCTTAGGGTTCCTGTCTCAAAAGGTGAAATTTTAATCAATCCTCACTAAAACTTTGTTGTTGTTGTTGTAATCAATCATTCTTCCATTAAAACCCTAAGCTTAGGAATTGTTTGCTTTCGATCTGATGACTGATCTCATCGTGAAGGATCTGGTTAGGGTTTTAATGCTTTCTCTGTTAATTTTGAAGTGTTTAATGGAGATTCTTTTAAGGAAAAGCTAGGTGTTTATGTTAATTCTAGTTTAAAATTATATATAATTATATATGTATGTTAGATATTAGTTTAATCATGGGCAGCGTTTGTATATTCCTTTAAAAAAAATTATTTTGACCTAAAATTAAAATTAAAAAATAGGTTTAATGTTCAGCATGCTGATGTATATTGGGTTATTATCAGTTATTTGCAAGTTAATACATTATAAATTCAAGTCTTTTGATAAAAGCTAATCACACGAAGATATTGAGACAGATTGCGCAGTTCTTAATTATGTATGCTGTACTTGAAAAACTTGATCTCGTCGCCACCAGAAGCTTTTATGTACTGTAATTGCTTTAACATGACAATTATCCTTGGCTGCTTTTTTGATACATGTCGGTTTAGTGTGAAGAAATGGCGGACAAAAATCATCGCCCATCAGCAATCCAAATGATCTATGGGCAGTCTTCACCCAGTAGATTCTTTGCATATGCCCAGGCAAGGAACAATGGAATCCATAACTTTGCAGGCACTTTCTATAATGGAAACCTTCAAAGTATATTGCTGCGACCAAACCGAGGAAATAACGGAGCGATTGCTCTTTCTTTGCATTCGCCACTTTCCCCTGTCAACGCTTATGCTCCTAAGGAGAAAGGAGTCACTGGATTTCTTATAGATTTCTTGATGGGAGGAGTTTCTGCTGCTGTTTCAAAAACAGCAGCTGCTCCAATTGAACGAGTTAAGCTCTTAATTCAGAACCAGGACGAAATGATCAAGGCTGGTCGTCTCTCAGAGCCTTATAAAGGAATTGGAGACTGTTTTGCCCGAACAGTCAAGGATGAAGGCTTCCTTTCATTATGGCGAGGAAATACTGCGAATGTCATTCGTTATTTTCCCACTCAGGTCATTCAGCTATTTTATAATCTTTTACCGATGTTTACTTTAATAGTTTACATTTTTTTATGGTTCAATGTCTACTATTTGTCAGGCCCTTAACTTTGCTTTTAAGGATTACTTCAAGAAAATGTTCAACTTCAAAAAAGATAAGGATGGTTACTGGAAGTGGTTTGCTGGTAACTTGGCATCTGGAGGTGCAGCTGGAGCCTCTTCTCTGTTGTTTGTGTATTCTCTGGATTATGCTAGGACTCGACTAGCCAATGACGCAAAGGCAGCAAAGAAGGGAGGTGAAAGGCAATTCAACGGTCTGGTTGATGTTTACAAGAAAACCCTGAAATCTGATGGTATTGCTGGACTGTATCGAGGCTTTAATATCTCCTGTGTTGGTATCATTGTCTATCGGGGACTCTACTTTGGGATGTATGATTCGCTGAAGCCAGTTGTACTGGTTGGTTCCCTAGAGGTTAGTAAAGCTAAAACACATTCCTTTTGAAGATAACTTAGATATAATAGGTTGCTTTTTTTTTCCTCCATCCACATGCTGTACTATTGCCAAACTGAACTTACTACCCCTGTAGTTCTATAGCCCATGAATATTACAAATTTTAAAGTACACCAAATGATTTCCAATATGTAAAAACAAATGAAAATGGACAGGAATTGTGGGTTATAGCTCATAAAAATCACGAGTTTTAGAAAATCAAGTAGTTATCATTGGATTGAAATGGACTAAAGTGGACAAAAATTGTAGGTTGTAGTTCGTAAAAACTGTAAATTTTGAACTAAGCATAATTGGTTGCTATTGGGTTGAAATGGACGAAATGTTCAAAATCGTGGGTTATATCCCAGGAAAATTGTGAATTTTGACGTACGTCAAAAAAAATTCATTAGGCCGCAGACGAAAATGGAGAAAAACCATAGGTTATAGCCTAATGAAAATCACGAATTTTGAGAATGAAAATATGATTGTCATTGGATCGAAATGGACGAAAATGGTCAAAAGTTGTGGGTTAGTCCATAAAATCATGAAGTTTAAGAAAAAATTAGTTGCTATTAGGTCAAAACCTATGTAAATGGACAAAATTGTGTGTTCTAATCGCTAACTTTGAAGTATGCCAAATAATTTTCATTAGGTCAACTGGTCAAGACAAACAAAAATAGACAAAAACCGTGGGTTATAGCAACTGAAAATCGCGAGTTAAAAAGCCCAATTATTATTGGGTTGAAATGGACAAAAATAGACAAAAACAATGTTTTATAACCCATAAAAATCGCAAATTTTTAACTACACATAATTAGTTTGTATTGATCGAAATGTATGAAAATGGACAAAAATTGTGGGTTGTAGCCCATGATGCGAATTTCAAAGTATGTTACAAATTTTCACTAAATTAAAAAAAAAGAAAATAGATAAGAAGTCATGTGTATAGCCAATGAAAATTGCGAGTTTTGAAGATAGAAAAATAATTGTCGGGGGTTTAAACGGACGAAAATATAGACAAAAATCATGAATTGTAATACATAAAAATGGCAAATTTTGAACTACACAAATTTAGTTGCTATTAGGTTGAAATGGATGAAAATTATCAAAAATAGTGAGTTATAGCCTATGAAAATTGCGCTTTTTAAGAAAGCTAAAATTTTCCATTGGGTCGAAATAAACACAAATTGACAAAAATCATGGGTTGTGAGTTTTGATGAATGAAAGCATAATTGCCATTAGGTCGAATAAATGAGAAATGCACTAAATAATATGTTTAACCTATGAGAATTGTGAACATAAGTAAATAAATACTAATTGCTATTAGATCCAAATAAACAAAAATGGAAAGAATTATGGGTTATTGTTGTGAAAATTGTGAATTTTGAAGTAAGTCAAATACAAATAATTAACATTAGGTCAAAATAAATGAAAATAAACAGAAATCATGGGTTATATCCTATAGAAATCGTGAGTTTTGCAAAAAGAAAACTTAGCTATCAGTGGGTTGAAATGGAGGAAAATGAATAAAAATCATGGGTTATATAACTCATGGAAACTGCGAATTTCGAGCTATGCATAATTAGTTGGTATTTAGTCAAAGCAGGAGAAAACAGACAAAAATTGTAGGTTATATAAGCCCATGAAAATTATGAATATTGAAGTACACCAAAAAAATTTACATTGGGTGGAAACAAATAAAAATAGATAGAAACCTTGGGTTACACCCATGAAATAGTGAGGTTTGATGAAAAGAAAACATAATTGTTATTGGGTCGAAATGGACAAAAATGGGCAAATTTGTGGGTTATAGTCCATAAAAGTTATGAATTTTAAAAAAAATTAATTGTTGTTTGGCGAAACATATGAAAATAGACAAAAATCATAGTTATAGCCCATAACAATTGTGAATTTTGAAGTACAAATAAATTTCGTTATGTTGAAACAAACAAAAGTGGACAGAAATAATTGATTATATCCTATGAAAATTATGAATTTTAACATATACGCACATAATTGTTATTGGGTTGAAACAAATTAATATGGACAAAATTCGTAGGTCATCACCCATTTAGATCACAAAATCTGAAGAAAACTTACATACCATTTGGTCGAAACTAATAAGAGTTGTAGGTTATAGCCTATGAAAATTACGAATTTTGACTGCGCGTAATTTGTTGCCATTAGGTCGATATGGACGAAAATGGATAAAATTGATGTGTTATGGTCCATGAAAATTGCAATTCTTAAGAAAATAAAAATTAATTTCCATTTGTTTGAAACAAATAAAAATTAACAAAAGTCATGAGTTATAACCTATAAAAATTTTGAAGTACGCATTAATTACCATTGGGTCGGAATGAACAAAAAATGTGGGTTATTACACATGAAAATTGCGAATTTTGAAGTACGCTAAAATTTTTTATTCAATTTTAACAAATAAAAATGGAAAGAAGTGTGTTATAACTCATGAAAACCATGAAATACGAAAAAATAGAACAAATTGTCATTTGGTCAAAACAGACAAAAATGGAGGGATACTGAGTGTAGTCCATAAAAATCATAAATCTTAATTAAAGAAAATTTAACTACCATTAGGTCAAATGGATAACAATGAACAAAATCATGGGTTAGCCCATGAAAAATTATAAATTTTAAAGTATGCCAAATAATTTCTATTAGAACAAAGCAAACAAAAATTGGCAGAAATCGTGGTTATAGTCCATAAAAATTGTGAGTTTTGAAGAAAGAATTATTATTGGGTCGAAATGGAATAATATAGTCAAATTGTGTGTTATAACCAGTGAAAATCATAAATTTTGAACTACGCATAATTAGTTGCTTGGTTGAAATGGACAAAGAAAACTTTATTATCATTGAATCGAAATGAACAAAATCGTGGGTTATAATTTATGAAAAACTCGAATTTTGGACTTCATATAATTAGTTACTAATCTATGATACCCCAACGTAGCAATTTTGGCATCGTACCCGTGTCGGATGCGGTTTGGGTACGTTTACGCACCTAAATGGAGGGGACACGGGAGCAACCCATTTCCCACATGTGAGAGGACTTTTGGAGCAGATGCGTTTGAAGGAAATGAGTTTAGCTAAGATATGCAAGGAAGAAGAGTCTCTCTCTTATTTCCTTAGTTTTAATTTTGTTAGTGGAACATGACATCACCATTCATATGGGTGCTTGACTATTTGCTTTTTTGTCTTTAAAATTAATGACAATGCTAAGAATGAGAGACATGTAGGTAGGTAGGTAGATAGGTATGTATGTATATATATATATTCTTTTTTGATACTTATGTGGAATATAAAGTCAAAGTTTCAAATGAGTTTACTATATAATTTTAAGGAATGAGCTTATTTTATTAAGAATTTAAAATTAAACATAGTAAAATTGCTATAGTTAATATAATTGTTAATTTTTAATTTATATATATATATATATATATATATATATATATATATATATATAATATATATATATATATATATATATATATATATATATATATATATATATATATATATGATATTTAATGAAGGTATCATTGTTATAGGAGGAGATTTTCCTCATTGTCGTCTATATGGCCACAATCTCCATCATCCTCATAAAGTAGGCACAAATTCCCACCAACTCACCCTCTCTCTTCTACTTTATGAGAATGGTGGGATTGTGTCACATAGGCGTCAAGGAGGAAATCTCCTCCTATGACAAGGATACCCATTAATCTCTCTCTCTCTCTCTCTCTCTCTCTCTCTATATATATATATATATTATATATATATATATATTATATGAGCCATGTCCCTATACCCTATTTTTTACAAATTTGTCGTGTCTCGTACTCGTGTTCATACCCGTATCCGTACCTATGCAACCTAGGTTGCTATTGGGTTGAAATGGAAGAAAATGGAAAAAATCGTGGCTTATGAGCCTATGAAAATTGTGAATTTTAAAGTACGCTAAAATATTTCAATAGGTCGAGACTAATAAAAATGGATAGAAATCACGAGTTATAACCTGTGAAAATTGCGAGTTTTGACGAAAAAGGGACAATTACCATTGGGTCAAATGAAGCGAAAATCGACATAAATAATAGGTTATAGTCCATAAAAATCATGAATTTTAAAGAAAGAAAATTTAATTTCCATTAGACGAAACAGTTGAAAATGGACAAAATTAATGGTTATAGCCGATTAAAATTGTGAATTTTGAAGTACGTCAAATAATTTTCATTAGATTGAAACAAATAAAACGGACAAAAATAATCATAGGTTATAACCCATGAAATTCACAAATTTTAACTATACATAATTTGTTGCCATTAGGTCGATATGAATGAAAATAGACAAAATTTCCATGAAAATTGTCATTTTTAAAGAAAGAAAATTTAATTTTTATTTGGTCAAGACAAATAAAAATTAACAAAAATAGCATATGAAAATTTTGGAAATTTTGGACTACGCATTATTAATTGACGTTAGGTCGAAGAAAAATAAAAATGGGCAAAAATTGTGAGTTATAGCACATGAAAAATACGAATTTTAAGGTACACTAAATAATTTTCATTTGGTAGAAACAGTGTTTTAAATATCGGCCGATAAGCCAATATTATCAAAAATTTATCAGTATTGGGGGCCTTTCGCTATGATAAGTTTGATTTTAAATCGGTTATTGTTTTTGGATGTTTATCGGCGATAATACGACGATAGTGTTATCAGACGATATTATCGGCTAAAAATATCAGAATTATCAATCTTTTGTTTGGGTTTGAGTTTGCTCTTTGAATGCTTAAGAATTATAAATGATTTGTTGTTTTTGTAATTTGGTTGTTTACTGATTACGTTATGTTTGTTTATGAATATTGACATGGTTCATAATTACTAAATCTCAACTTAATAGTTAGTTTATAATCTCATGATTATACAATAATTATGGTAATGATTCTTCATTCTTTATGTTATTTTGTTATTGCTTGTAATTCCATTTTTACTAACTATGCACTCGAATGGTTTCATCGTGCAATCAAAAAGCAAGTTTCTACCATTGGTTAGTGATCCTAAACATGATTATTTACATTTTTGTATGTTTATATTTCATTAAGTATGGTTAGATTATATTTTAGGATATTATAATATGTATATTTTGGTATGTTTATATACAATATTGCCAGATATTCGCTATCTGATATGAATTTTGACCGTCCGATAAATCTCTGATAATCGATAATTAAAACCTTACATAGAAACAAATGAATATTGATAGAAATCATGCGAACAATGTTTAGAAAAGCGGAAGCGCAAGGCAAAGCATTAGAACCTTTGGTGGAACGAAGCGTAAGCTTCAAAGCGTGAGGCATAAGCCTCATGAGTTTTAAGTATTTTAATTTTAAAGTTTGTAAATATGAACATATAATATATAATGGCATAATAATTTATAAATAGATACATTCATGGCCTTATCTGTAAATAAGGATTAAATATGTGAAGTATATATGAAAATCATAATAAACTAAGCTACATGCATAACTTATATATCTTATTTACACTTACATGATCATATCGAAGATACACAGGGGCATTTAAATGTTATTGAAAAAATCTTCTATATCTTATTTTGTGTTATACGTGGTCTTCAATGGAGAAGCGCATTATGATGTGCGAAGCGCACAATTTAGTTATGCTTTAATCAATGAGGCTTAAGCGTCAAGGGATAAGTAGTTATCTTTCTTGAGTTCTGAAGCATAAACCCTTCAAAAAGTTTTGAAGCGAGTTTCGAAAGAGCTTTTTCATACATTGGCTATAACCCATGTAAACCATGAATCTTGAAGGGAAAACAAAGAACATAATTGCTATTTGGTCAAAATGGAGGAAAATTGTGGGTTGTATGTAGTCCATGAAAATCGCAAATTGTAATTAAAGAAAGTAAAATTATCATTAGGTCGAAACAGATGAAAATGAGCCAAAATCGTGGGTAGTCCATAAAAATTGTGAACTTCATAATATGCCAAATATTTTCCATTAGGTTGAAACAAATAAAGATGGACATAAATGTGGTTATAGCCCACAAAAATCGCAAGTTTTAACTTGATTATCATTGGTTCTAAATGGAAGAAAATAAATAAAAAACATGAATTATAATCCATGAAACTCGTAAATTTTAAACTCAACATATTTTATTGCTAGTGGGTTAAAGTGGACAAAAAAGGGCACAAAATCATGGGTTAGTTTATAAAAAATGAATTTTAAAGTATGCCAAAAGTTTTCCATTAGGTCGGAATAAAGGAAAATGGATAGAAATCATGAGCTAGAGCCCATGAAAATTGTGAGCTTTTGACAAATGAAAACATAATTGCCATTTGTTCAAAACGGACAAAAATTGATAAAAATCATGGATTATAGTCCATAAAAATCACAAAGTTTAAAGAAAGGAAGTTTAATTGATATTAGGTCGAAACGAACAAAAATGGACAAACATTGTAGGTTATTATTGCCCATAAATTTTGAATTATAAAGTAATCCAAATAATTTTTATTAGGTTGAAACAAATGAAAATAGACAATTCGTTGGTTATTGCCCATGAAAATTATGAATTTTGAAATATACGAAATAATTTCCATTAGGTCAAAAGAAATGAAAATAGACAAAAATTGCGGATTATAACTAAAGAAAATCGCGAGTTTTAAAGAATGAAAACTAAATTATTATTGGTTGAGACGGATGAAAATGGACAAAAATCGTGGATTATAACCCATGAAACCTGCAATTTTTGAACTACGTATAATTAGTTGCTAGTGGGCTGAAATAGATGAAAATGAACAAAAATCGTGGGTTGTAACCCATGAAACTTGCGAATTTTGCCAAAAGTTTTCTATTAGGTTGAAATAAATGAAAATGGACAGAAATCATGGTTTATAATCCATGAAAATCGTGAGTTTTTATAAATGAAAGCATAATTGTCATAGTGTTGAAACAGACTAAAATGGATAAAAATCGTGGGTTATGGTCTATGAAAATCACAAATTTTAAATAAAGTTATTTTTATTAATATTAGGTCAAAATGGACGAAGATGGATTGAAATCATTGGTTAACCTATGAAAATTGTGAATTTTGAAATACATCAAATAATTTTCATTAGGTTGAAACAAACGACAATAAATAGAAATCGTGGATTATATAGCCCATGAAAATCGCGAGTTTTCGAGAACGAAAACTTAAGCCCATGAAAATCGCGAGTTTTCGAGAAAGAAAACTTAATTATCATTAGGTCGAAGTGGATGGAAATGAACAAAAATTGTGGGTTATAATCCATAAAAACAGCGAATTTTGAACTACACATGATTAGTTGCTATTGGGTTGAAATAAACTAAAATAGACAAAAATCGAGGGTTATATAGCCCATGAAAATTACTAATTTTGAAGTATGCCAAAAAGTTTTCATAGGTTGAAACAAACAAAAATGGACAGAAATCATGTGTTATATAGTTCATGAAAATTGTGAGTTTTGATGAATGAAAACATAATTACAAGTAGGTCATAAAACTTGCGATTCAGTAAACAAATAAATAGAAGAAAAGCTAAGTTGTATGGAAGCGGGTACGAGGTTCCAGTGTGGGTACTGGACATTGTAAATTTGTGAAATGTGTACACACACACGCACACACACAAACACATATACATATACATATACACACACACACTTTACAAGAGATCATTATTATTTTTCAATTCATGTGCTATTTGAATTTAATTTCCTATCATATTTTAATTTTTTTATTTTGATTATTATAAATTGAAAATTGTTCTTTTTTTTAACTAGACACTCAAAACACTCTCAGATATTATAGTTTTTTCGCTTGGATATGGGCTGAAACAGTCGGACTTACGCCTAACGACCTCCAAAAAATTGACGCGAAGTGTAGGATATACGTCCAAGAATTGTATAACGAGTATTTTAAATTAAAACACATATCGTATAATTGAGTACATGTCTGGGTAAATGTATCCACCCATCCAAGGAGTGACCATGAAGTTTGGATAAGGATAATTGTCGGGTACGGGTACAGCTTCATGATAGAAGTATTTGGGTAACATAGAAGTAATCACTCGCCTGTATAAAAAAGCAATTCAATAATAAACAAATAAATAGAAGTAATCAATCTACAAATTTAACTGGATATTTTGGATACCAAGTTACTACTAGCTTTTCACTTAGCACAATCTTATATAGTTAATTTTCACTAATTTTGTGCATGCCTTTGCGTCCCCATCCTCACATTCAATTTCTCTTTCACACCAGTTCAACGCGTAGAACTACTACACAAAAAGCAAACATGAAGCTTCTGCAAATACTTTCAATAACTTAATTACTTCACATATTCCCTTTAGCCCTTTTTATTTACATTGGTGTTTTTCGCCCCTATTCTTGGGAGTGGAAGAAAAGTAACTAATGTTTGTACTCTTGTACTCGGTTGTAGGATAATTTCCTCGCCAGTTTCTTACTGGGATGGGGCATAACAATAGGAGCTGGTCTTGCTTCCTACCCCATCGATACTGTTCGTAGAAGGATGATGATGACTTCCGGTGAGGCTGTCAAGTACAATAGCTCGATGGATGCATTCAAACAGATTATAGCGAAGGAAGGTGCCAAATCTCTCTTCAAGGGTGCCGGTGCTAACATCTTGCGTGCAGTTGCAGGTGCCGGTGTCCTTGCGTCCTATGATAAGCTGCAGTTGATATTCTTCGGCAAGAAATATGGGTCTGGTGGCGGTTAATTGTGCTTCACTAGTTGGGCCAGTCAGGGTCTAGGGTTTGATGATGATGATAAATCCAAATAAGGTAGTTATCATGAGTACATATGGGTTTTAGTTTGAAATATTGCTAGCGGTTGAATGTTGTGCAGAACTCAAATGGTGTTGCCTGTTATCTGAAACAGTAGTGTTTTTTTTTTCGTTTGAGCTTAGTAACTTGGTCGAGATGTGTTATATGTCCGTTTGTTGGACTGCTAAAAAGCATTTGGTCAGACCTATATTTCAGAGGTTTTCGCCGAAGACCTATAGTTGTGAGCCATCTTTAATAATACCTCCGAAGACCTATAGTTTGCAAGCTCTTGGATCTTTCGAATGAATATCTCATGGCATATGAATGGATTTTCTTGTATATAATGATGATGTTGAATTTTTTTTCTCTGTGAAAAACTGGTTCTTCCTTCGGTACTTCGCTTCATCCGCATTCATTTGGTTGCGTCACTCGCATCGCTCTATGTACATCACGGCATATGAGAGAAGACCCTCATATGTCACGGTGCAGCATCTACCATGCAAGGTATTGATCGAGGAGCACAGAGACATTCATGTTTATACAGCACTTGTCATCGTCTACTCCGTGCTAACTCCCACGGTTACATGATGTCCCGTTACCTTATCTGAAGATATACACGACGACATACAGGATATGCTCGTATAAAATCCGATGAAAAGATAACAATGAGCCACATGCTCAACATATGGAATCGAATAAAAAACCCTTTAAAGTACGAGTAAAATCAAAATATTTTAGCAAAATAGCCTGATAACCTAGATCCTCCCGTGTCAATTCATCAGCAAGAGATTAACACATGAGCATCAGCCGATAAAGTAGAGAAACTATGTAATTTAGTTCACAGGTAGTGTAGAACGAAATTGTACAATCATGAACTCCTTTCTATACATAACCTGACATCTTGCTCACTAACTTTATACATACTCTCACAAAACATGTCAGCAGCGCAAAAACTTTTTTCTGCCCTTTTGTTTTCTAAAAGGAATAGAGAATAGCGAAAATAAAATACCCCTTGTAACATCACTAACAATTCCAGGGTTTAATCATAAAAGACAATAATCTTTGGCTACGAGGAACCAATTTCCCCCTCCTCCACCCTACCATCTCCAGTAGAAGAGAACCAGTTACCCACCTCCTCATCCAGATCATCTTCCTTCATGAACAAACCCAGCTGTGCTAACGGATTTGCAAGAGCACACTGCTGCTCAACTGCATCCATAAAGTTCTTCGGCATCTCATCAAGTAGATCAAGGTGAACGGGTTGAGAATAGCCCAAATTATCAAGATCTTTAAAGATCTGAAAATTTTCATCAATGTCCACAGTTTTTTGCATCTGCAAAGAATTAACCCATGCTGGTTGATGTGTGTTTTGAGGAAAAGATGCTATAAAATAGTTTAAGGAGGCATAAGTACCAAGAGAATAGTTTACAGAGTATAAGTGGCTAACCCCTGTAGTACAAGGGGTGTATCTCCAATTAAACCAAAGAAAAATTGTTGGTTACCTTCTGAAGTGCCAATCGAGCTTCTTCCCTTTCCCTTTCCCGTTGCATTTTAAGTTCGGTTTCAGCTTTCAGTTGTGCAGCAGCTTCCGTGGCTCTGACTTGGGCTTCAATCCTTGCCTTTTCTGGTGGAAATAAATAGACAATAAGTTAGGAAACACGTACTATCATCACAAATAGCAAGTATGGTATTATTTGTTTTTGTTTCTACAGCAACCAATAGGAACATGCATGGTTGCTGTGAAGAACCATCCACATTAATAAAATAGTGAATATCTAAGGATGTGCTAAAATTGTTTCAGCTTTCTCCTTTTTGGTCAAAGAAGTCGAAAGGTAGAGGATAATTTGAACGCAAGAGTGGAAAATAATCAGTGACATAATACAGAACTGTATAAGCCACTTATACTATTAATAAATTTTGGAACGAA